TGTATGGATGGCAGCTGAAGTTTAACGAGTTTGGTGGGTCTCAGTACTGTTTCTACCGGAAAGAGTCCACGGCATTCAAACCACAACTAAGAGAAGGAGGAGCCACTGGCTGAACCACGCCACCTCCAGCGAGGTCCTGTCCACACTGCGCTGAGGCATGCAGTGCCCAGGGCAGCCCAAATTTCTCAGACTCAATCCTGCAAAGCACTTGTGTATGGGGTCAGCTTTAGGTGTTGGAACTCAAGAGTCATCCTGAGGTGGGGGGGGGGGGCAGAGGAAAAAACCTTCCTTGTCTCAGGGCCTGAATTGCTGCTGTGCCTTTTTTATTTCTTCCTCTTTAATTCCAGATAAAAGAGATGGTATTCTCAGGGTAAAGGCAGGATCTTAGAGCTTATATTTCCATTGCAATGACAGCATGACTTCCACCTTGTGTCCAGAGCTTCACAGAAGAAAGTGTCTGTACAGCCTCTCTCCCTGAACCAGTGCTGGAGTGGGATATAATATCTGAATAATTTACAAAGGCTCTTCATTAAACAGATTTATTTTTGGCAGCTTTGTTAGACTGCTCCTTTTAGGAACAAATAGGAAGTTGTTCTGGTCTGATTAGGACATCCCTGTACGAACTTTTTTCCTGCTGAGGCCAGGGACTGGGACAGCCTATTGCTCCATTAGCAATGCTAAATATAAACTCCCGGTCCCGGGTAACCAGGCTCCAGCATCAGTGGCCAGGCGACTTGGCGAGCGAGAATGTCCCTAGACACGCATGTCACGGGAAGTGGGAGCAATGGCAGGATCTTCCCTCCAGCCCCTGCGGGCAGGAGACCAGCATGGAGGCATGGGAGAGGTCCAGTCCTGCACCGGCTCTGAGCAGGAGACTGCTCCTGCTCTCCAGCCAGACAAGCCCACAGGCTTGGGCAAGCTCAGGATGTGGTGAAAGGCAAAGCTCAGCGTGGACACGGTGTGGTACAACCTGAGAGCACACGGCTGGGGGCAGACATGAGGCCAGCAGGCATGCCACGAGATCACCATGCGTACTACAGTGCCTTACAGTGATGCTAAAGGCAGGCATGGCACCTTCCTCCCTGGAAGGCTGATGCCAAGCAGGGTGCCACGGGAGAGGTGGAAGTGGCTCCTCCAGCCCCTGTGTCCTGGTTGCCCTGGCCTGGAGACCCCCTTGCCAGCCTCCCACACTAAGCCCAAGTGTCAGGCCCTCAACTAAGCTGTCAACATCAGAAGCCAAGTCCCTGGCTGCCCTCTGTGGCCCCTCCAAAGGGTGGTCAGGCTTCCCTAGGAGCAGACACACTCCCTGGAAACCCACCTGCAAGCTCAGCCCAACCCCGACCCAGTCCTGCTCCTGACAGAAGTGTTGGAGGCGGGGGGATCCACTTCAGCAGCAGCTTTCCAACATTGCTGTAAAACAGCCTCATAGCAGACAAATGTTGGTTCTTGGAGAGCTTCTACGCATGTGCTCAGAGCTCCCTTCCTGCACTGGAAAAACCCTCATTTCCTGAGCCAGGTCTGAGGTGGGCTGTGGGAATCCCCTCCTTTTTCTGGGGTGTGTTTAAGGCAGGCTCCTCCACACGCTGTTTTGCTGCCATGCCCGGGCCATGTTCACCCTGCTGACACATGCAGGCCCACTGCTTGGGCAAGGTTATAATTCCCCCTTCTTCAGATGCAGACACATTGCCCGGCTGGAGACAGGCCCATTAAAGAGTCATTTACTAGGCACAAGCGAGTTTGTGTTCCCCTGGATTGGGATTTGCCAAGATTATACCATAAATTAGTGTGTTTCCTGGAAGAAAGTAAGGAGATTAAAAAAAAGATAAAATGGAACATTTTGTAGCCAGCATAAAAGCCAATAAAGGACCATTTCAATTCCCGCTTGGAAGGGAGCAACTGCAAGTTGTTGCAAAGAGAGGGGAAGGCAGTGCAGGGCAGTGTGAGCAGGGCTCCTGTGCTTTCACCGTGACCAAGGGATGACTTGACATGCACGTTCCTGTTACCCCCCACTGCTGGGGAGCCCGGCTGGGGCCAAAGCTGCCAGCAAGCTGGCAGTGCAGCTGCCCAGCCATTCCCCCCATCACACGCCTCAGAGAGGCACCGCGAGCCCTTTCCGGAGGCCGGGGTCTGGGCTGGGGTGCTGTGTGGCAGAGACGTGGAGGCTGGGCGCAGCTGAGCTGAGGAAAGCTTCATACTGGCAGCCTGGGGCCTGGGAAGAGTGCCTCTGCCTCATCTTCTGGGACATTCAATCTACTCTTCTAATTATTATTGTTGTTTAAAGAAGTCCATCAACCACAGGAAGAGCCCGGTCCTCTTTCTATCAAGGACAAATGCTTCATGGCTTTGGCAGTACCATTGTTAGGAATACCTGTTGTTTCAGGTTGCTACGTGGCAACTTCGCTGCTTTATCTCAACTGGAAAAAATTTCATTCAAGTTAAAGAAGAAATTATAAAATCTAGATGAGCAATGAAGGGGTGAGCTAGAAAAGGAGAGCAGAGATGCTACCAGGCTTGGCAGGCAGACAGATATTCCTGAGTGTCTCACAAACGTGTGTGTACATAGCTGTGCTAAAAGGCAGCCACCACTGGGTGAAGACTGTACCTTTGGCCCCGGCTGCCCTCCTTGTCTTACCTGAGAGGACTGATAAGGCAAGACATCCACTCTGGAGGTCTCGTCTCAAAGTTTGTCCTGCTCTGCATCATGACCAACCCCTGCAATATTCTGGATGGGAAGATATTAACAGACACCAACTGCTCTGCAGGCACAGCATGCCAGATCATCCTTCAGCACCTCTAACATGGGCAAAGTCTGTAAAATGGGAGAAACAACCTGCCGTGTATTTAGGGGCCATCTCGTCTTATGTGCATGTACATCATGTTGCACAGGGCAGTTGACATTGTGGTTTAGGTCTTTAGCTGCTGCAGGAATACACATAATCTGTTCTTCCAAACTAGCAGCAAACGTGAGCCTCCTGACCCACACATATGCTCAAAGGGTGTTTTTTAACTAAAGGGAGTTAAACTAACTTCTTAGAACAACACAGGAGCCCTTCTGCAAATGAAGCCGGAGCAGTCTGAATGGTGCAAACCTTGCAGGCAGCAGCCATCCAAAAGGATCCCAAGCTCCAATGCTCCCCTTGGGATGAGCTGGCCCAGCCCAGAAGCTTCTCAGTGGCCACACGCACGGGATCACAGTGACAGACCTTGCACCAGCATTCCCACTGCAAAGTGCAGGAGAGAGCCCACAGCCCCTGATTTCGAACACGTGATTTGTACGGCATTTGCATGCTGCACATTTCTTCTGCACTTAACATAATCATCTCTATAATAGATACCTAATTCCTATAATGGAGTGGGGGCTATTACCTGCAAGGCCAGTCTGTTCTGTGCTGGGGGCCAAGGATGATACAGCTCTCAAACCAGGCACTGTGTATCTATCCGAATCATCACTTAGCTGACAGCCAAACCCTTCTGCATCCCATTGTCCCTTCCTTCCCTGACATGGCAGCAAGGTGACAAGCCTGGCATGGAACACAAGACATGCTCCAGACTTGCTCCAGTGTCTCCCACTGAAGGCAGAGCTCACCAGAGAGGCAGGCCTGAGCTTTGCAAGGAGACAGCGGTAACCTAGTCTGGTCTTCCGCACATACCAATTACAAACTGCATCTCACTACCCTTGTGCAAAGCCCAAGCTAGGGTGGCTCAGTTTCTCTACATGTAAAAAGGGGACTAGGATGCTGACCAGCTGCAGGGAGACTGTCTACCCTGTTTTCCAACCCTTATTCTGCAGGGACATAAAGCCTGCCTGCACTATTAATAATCCTTGGCATGAAGCTGTCACAGTTTTCACTAATATGGAGATGTTGAAGTGAAAAAGCTACTGCACAATATGCAGGAGGTGTCACGATAACTCAGCTGCTATATTGTTCTCTTTAAAAGTAAATACCCCAACAGCCCAGGCCGCATTGCTGGAGTCATGAGGCGTAGGGTTTTATTTTTAATCAGAAAATGTACTGATTTTTAAAGATAGTCACAGAGCAGCATCTGAAATTGATGAAAGCTCCCTGTGTGCTCACACACTCCAGCCGTGTTCCTGCCCGTTATTCTCAGGCTAGTTTCCAAGGACCTGATCCCACCTCAGCTCAGGCATATTTGTGTGTGTGGTCATCAAGAGGCCCCATGGCCACAAAGTCCTTCCAGCAATGAAGTCTGTGGCTGATTTCCCCACCTCTCTGCTCTCTGTGGGGATGCAATCAATCCCCCAGGACACAAACTGCAGAGTTTGCTCCTCAGGCAGCAGGTTTAAGACCAAAGTTTGCATGCAGAGCAGAATTTTCCATTGTTTGGACATGGGAGGTTTGTTTAGGGCCAGTTGCAGGTGAATTCCCTTGCCTTTGCCTTCCCTCCTGCTCAGAAAAGGCAGGGTTGAAATAAAGCAAAACAAACCCGCTGTGTAAACAAACCCTGTTCTCCTGCTTGGGGAAAGATGTGAAAATGAGCCGCATCTGATGGCGTTCTCTGCATTGCTGGCACAGTTCAGATCCTGCAGTGTCACATCAGGTTTAAGAACCTGTAAGAAACTGGAGTGGTGGCTTCATTAACAGCAGAACTTCCCTTTCCCTCCGACACCATGTAATAAAGATGCAACACCAGGAGCCACATGAATTAGCTTCACTGCGTTGGTCAAGGCTCTTCTAATCAAGAGAGCTGTGAAAGGCGAGAAGCCTCATCGCACAGCGAGACCCAGGACTGTCCAGAGCTCCCGTGACCTGGTGCCAGGGCCTGCAGGTACCGAGGTTTGCCCTACAAACCTCTGCCGGACTTCAGTCCCAGAGTTACCCCGGTCTAGGGTAAACCCAAGGCCTCTGCAAAGAGCTGCTGCGGTGGCTCAGCCAGATGCGCCTCGGACCCCGGGCCCCGCGGGGCAGCGCTCCACACCTCCGCTGGTGTTGAGCCTGGGGTCCTGCCTCGGCACCCGCAGCGAGGAGGGGCCCGGGGAAATGGGAGCGACATCCGACAGCCCGCAGCACCGGGAGGGTGTGGGGGGACAGGCAGCCCCGACAGGACCGCAGCGGCCAGGGCTCAGGGTGAGGGCGCGGATGGAGGCGCCGATGGGGGAAAGGCCCGGCCCGGCCCGGCCCGCCCCATCCCCGTGCC